TCAAATGTATTTTTAAATCCATGAATAGAAATTAGCAATTTTGTATCTAACTGGAAGCCGAGGGAATTTCTAAAAAATTACAGTCATTTTAAGGTGGAGTTTTCAGGACCAAATTTCTCAAATCAAGAAGGATATAACCTTAAAACTCAGGGTGATATGAGTTTTATGGCCGGTTTTGTTTCGACAAGCTGACATGAAAATCAATATGAAGCATAGATTTTTAAATGAAGCTGTGGTAGGAACTTAAAATCCAACCCTGGCCACTTCAGTTTTTCGCAATACGTCTACCACAGACCAATGGACAGGTAGCTGGTCTTGGTAGTGAGTGATTCGCAATACGCAATCTTGTGCCATACTCAGTAAATAAAGAACAATAGATAGATATCATTATCATCAGTCTCATGACCGTGTGTGGTTGCAGGGTCGCTGAGAAGGTGATCAGTTCCCTCCACATATCTGGGGAGAAAACCGGAGAGATATTCATTTATACGTCGTATGTCTTGAGCAATTAGATCTGGTAGAGTTCAAACCACAGCCAATATTTCGAATTGAAGTCTCGCCTTGGTTCAGGGCACACGGCTGTTGATTTCATCAAGAGACCTCACCTCCTTGGACGTTGACCTATCTTGGAATTTCTCCACCCAGCGATGCCAGGTCTAAAATAATCTAATTAGAAACTTAAACTTAAAAACTACCACACCTGATCTCTCCCAAATTTAGTTTTACATGTCCCGGTTACATTTTTAAATTTAAATTTAGTCAGCTTTTGCTATCGAGTACTATATTTGCACTCTTTGTTTTGTTGTTTTTTTTAATCAGCAATTTTATATGGCGCAGGTTTCACTGAACTGTTTTCAAAATGGACTGAACGCAATTTGTTTTCTATTAATGTATTTGCATTTGATTGATACTTGAAAAGCTTCTGGTTACTTGAAAGGAAAGCTTGCTTTCCACGATGCGTCACTCACTCACAAATGAATACGACTTGAAACACCAAATCAAGAATTACTGACATCATTCAAATAGCAACCATCTGAACAACTTGGTCATGAGTCATAAGTATAACAACCAGAAAATGATATAACATGGCCGTAAGTACAGCGGCAGATCCAGAATTCATACAATGATACATTCGAAGCAGTTTCCTTTTATCTTTTACTTTTCCTAATATTTTGAAAACTCTTACCTATGTGGGTTGTATAACGGTCATCGGCTGTAAAAGTGTAATTGGTGAATCGAGTTCACATTCCATCCGAGTGTGTGGCATTCACTTCATATTAATAGCCTTTTGAAAGGTACTGTATCCATCTCATCTTCCCTGAGATACGAGTTAAATGCCAGAACAGAATGACAGTCTAAGAAGATGGGAACATTAAACCAATTGGGCATACTGATGTCATCGATTACGGATCGGTGATCATTTAAACTTTATCTTTTAATGGGTGCATCTCAGAAGCGCCTAATGCTCTATCCATCGGGGCGGTAACACGCTATATTTGTGTCTGTGGAAAGTGTACCATCTAGACATCTTTTGGCGTTTATCATCTTCAGTATCCCTCCAGAAAGGTTGAACATAACCATTTACTTAATCCCTTATTTCTCCCTTATAAAATATGGCTCAGCTAATAAAAATCACTGAGAAAGGACACCAGTTACCGTAAATGGTAAAGCGGAAATATACAGTGATGGTTGTAGATTCTGAAATTTCCTAAAAAACAAAAAGTCATTGTATTTGACAAAGATAAAGATGAAAAGAACAAAACGCTGTAGGTCATATAAGCTTTTCTTTTTTATCTTCCTGGAAGGTTAAAAAGTGAGAACTAAATTGGAAAACACAATCAATAAAGAATTAGGAGTGAAGCTAAAGGGTCAACTTAAAGCTGAGTCTGCCGAAAACACCTTTAGCTTCCAATATTAATTCTTCACAGTTAACTGCTACATTCCGCTTCCACTAACCTTACAGACATGAACCTCATTTCTTTCCACACCGGGATTGAATAGACAGATGACCACTTTCGTCGTCTGCCGAAATAGGCTATTCCCCATATGAGGTAAAAGGATTTGTTTGATTATTAATATATATATATATATATATATATATATATATATATATGGTGTATTATATTTAATAATTATACTGTTATAAGAGCATAGCTGACCACCCATATTCGAGCATACCCATCTACTAGGGCGGCTAGCCAATCCCTATTGCAGACGTCTACTCAGGCACATCTGTGTTTATTCAACACCCGCAAAGCTCACCTGTGCTTTATATTGCAACTATGCTGAGCAAACCTTAGTTACAGTTTCTAGGAAAGAGCGTGTTATCTAGCGTGATCAACAATTTGAACAATGTCAGCACGCTCAAGCCCTCGGCCACGATGACTTGTGACTTCGTGCTAGCACAGCTAACGGACGACCCCCAACGGTTCCGTCCACCCAATACTGTTATAATAATATTTTATATAATAGACTGTTATATAATGACTGTTTGAAAGTTTTTTCAGAGAATGTAAGAGAATGGCACTTTTTTTTTAAATCTATCAGATTAAATACATTTACAAATAAAGCAATTAATTTTCCCAGTTGGGCACCTCAACATAGGGTAATGGTTAATGAGGTAGTATGATTGACCATTGCTGTTGAGTAGTGAGCTCAATTTATTTAGAATTCAGAGCAGCCAGAATTTTTGGAAATAAAAAATGGAAAATAATTGTAATCGTTCAGATGGGGATCATAAGGGTCACTTCGTGTTTGAGTTTAGAAGTAGAGTAGCTAAGCTACAGAGATTGATTCGTTTTCTACGGCTTATCAACCCCTTGCAGCTTATTTAAAGCGAGAAAATATTTTCAAATTGTAAGAATCATTTTTTTTTCCGGCGCGGGGAGGGGAGATAATAATGGTTTAGGGATGTCTTATTAATTAACCCATGGCTGGAGTGAGAAAAAGTGGATTCATACTAGGGCATGTAAATGAATTTAACGAAACCAACGGGAATTAACAATTCGGTGTGGGGTAATGGTTAACGAGCTTATTTGGTTGATCATTGCTATTATGTAGAGAGTTTGATACTCACTGGCTGCCTCATAAAGATATGTTAAAACTAAGCTCGGATTAGCAAATCAGAAGGACGCCTCAGTGTGGAGTAATGGTTAACAAACTAGTCCGTTTTCCCATTGCTATGTTATACGCGTGTCACTGCGTAGTAGTATTCGTAGTACAGTTCTCCGTGTCCTGAATAGCAACCGGGTTTGCTAGATATAGCTGTTCCCTATGTTCGCCAGTTGTTCTCTATTTATACTTGTCTATCTAATTTGCATACGATACTACACCCATTACTAAATAGTGATTTCTATTCTCATTGCGTTCTTTTAGCTGTGACCTTATGCCAAACCAAGTTAAGCCAAGCTTAACAAATAACGAATTTTGCCAGTTATAAGTTGAAGAAAGATTCCTCAGATGTACTTTACAAAGCTTTACTTAGTCTGGCACAAGGCAAAGGACTACATCGGGTACCTGATGTTCCCAAGTGATCATCCATTTAAGTACTGACAAAATTTATTGCTGTATTTTTGGGTATGTGTCGACTTTGTAGTTTCCAGATGATTTCTGATTCAGTAATTAAACAAAAAGGAAAGTCGAAAAGAAAAGGCCAGACCTTTTTTTTTAAGCGTTTCACCCCAAGCAAGGCGAGAAGCCACTAGGACGCAAGGGGTTACAGAAAAATTGGAGCAAGATCAGATAGGAGTGATAGAGGAAAGGATTAGGAGAAGGATAGTGGATAGATCAAGGCAACTGGAGATGTCGATTGACATTACATTTGAATAGCTGGAGATTATAGCTCTCAAGGAAACTGGAATAGGGAAGGGAGTTCCACAGGCGAGAGGTGCGAGACATGAAGCTATTGGAGTAGAAGAGACGGCTACATTTAGGAGTTTCGACAGTGAAGGGGTGAGAGCGGGATGACAGCCTCGTAGGGTGCTTGAACTCATGACGTCTGGGAACCAGCGAATGCAGCTCCTCGGAGCAATTGCCATGAAAGTATTTGTAAAACAAAGAGAGGCGACGGCGTGTCTGTGAGAAAGTGACTGTAGATGAGATGCCAGATCAGGGCCAATTATATTGCATATCCGCCTCTGGATCTTATCAAGAACCCCGAGGTAAACAGAAGGGGACCTAACGATGAGTTAATAGAGAGGGGTAAAATGAAAAAGAAGGAAGTGACAATAGAAGGTAAAAGATAAGGAAGGGTATGAATGAAGAGGAGAGACCGAATGATAAGGAAATAGGGAGGAGACAGAACTGAGAGATAGAATGAATGAAACGGAAGAAGTAGGAAAGAAAAGATAAAGAGGAAGAAAGATGTGGAAATAATATAAATAGCAGCGAATGAAAGAAGGAAAAGCGACAGAGAAGAGAAGGAAGTGGAGAGACCAAAAGATTAGGGAGAAATTAGATAAAGAATGAAGGAAAAAAAAAAAGAAAGAAGGAAGGGAAGTAAAGAGATCAGACGATAAGGGAAGAGGAAGAGGAAGAGGATAGACAAGATGAATGAAAGAAAGAAGTAAAGATGGAAGGAAAAAAAGTAGAGGGAGGTGAGGGAGTGAAATGACAAAAAGATGAAGAAGGGAAAGAAGATAGGAAAAGAATGAATGAGATAAAAAAAAAGTAAATATGAAAGGAAAAAAGAGAAGAGAAGACAGAGGACAATAGATGAAAGGAGAGAAATAATTGATAGGTAAAAATTTATGAAAGAAAAGGAAGAAAAATGGAAGGAATGATAAAGATGAAGGCAGTATAGAGAAGACAGATCACGAGGAAAGAACGAATGAAAGGAAAAAAAGAAAATTAAAATGATAAAAATGGAAAGGAAGGCAACAAATGGAGAGACCATAATTTGAGAGAAGAGAGAGACGACGGGAAAGAAAGAATAAAACGAATCAGCAAATATAGGAGAAAATAAAGAGAGTGAAAGAGTAGACATGTGATAGGCAAATGAATTAAAGCAAAATGGAAGGACAAATAGAAAAGAAGGAAGTGAAGAGAATGAAAATTACAGGAAAGAAAGAAGGAAATGGAAATACCAAAAGACCCGAGAAAAGAAAGACGAGTGTTCGGGAAAGAAGAGGAAGGAAGTAGAGAGACCAAAAGTTGAAGGAAGTGGGAGAAGTCAGGTGAAAAAGAAAGAACAAATAAAAAGAAAGGAATAAAAATGGAAAGGCAAAAAAGAAGAAAGGGAAGCATTTGAGATACTAAAATATGAAGCAAGAGAAAGAAGATTGGACTTGGGACTCAATGAATAAAAGAGACGCAAGAATGGAATGTAAAGTAGAAGAAAGAAGAGGAGAGAAGACAGATGGAAGAGAAAGAATGAATAAAATGAAAGAAGAAAAAAATGTAAGGAAAAAGAGGAACATGTGAAAAGTAAGAAAAGACGAAAAGGCAAGAATAAATGAAAATAAAATAATATGAAATAACGAAGGAAAGATGGGAATGAAGGAAATACACGTCAAGATCAAAATATGCGGAAAAAATAAAGAAAAAAAAATAAAGAAACTAAAAAGAAGGATGGAAGGGAAGAAGAGAAAATTGAATGAAAAAAATGAAAGAAAAGAAAAAATAAGTAAAACAGGCAAGCAATGGGAAGAAATGAAAAATAAGATGGTGGTCAAAGAAATAGCGACAAGAAAAAGGAAAAGATTAGATTGGAAAATGAGTAGAAGGATGATATGAAACTGTTTACCTGCCCACCACACTACCATAGTGTGTTTGACACAAGGACATAATGGGTAACCTTGCACGGAAACATGCAATTATTCCAGAAATTATCCAGTTTCCTGGGTAGTTCCCTTTTGGGAACACAGTAATTGAACCAAACCCTTTTTCTTTAAATGCGATCATGGAAGTGCTACCTGGGTGGAACGGAAGGAACTCTCCCTGAAATGAGACTTTAATTTCCGCCAGGAGGTTAAAAAGACCGGGAAGCAATATCATTTACTACGCTTAACTTTGATTGGCTTAAAGTCACAAACACATGGCAGCCAGTGAGGATCGTATTCACATCTTATGGCCAACAAGAGCAACTGGTCGAGGCTCCCTTGTAATTTAATTAGTTTAATTAATAAGGCCAAATGTATGGGGGACTGAATAGGCTCACGACTCAGTAATAATGGTCTACCAGATTAGATCGTTATTCTACGCCAAGCGGCCTTCATATTTATACTGCTATTATTTGTATTGTTATAATCTTAGCCTAGCATTGGTACAGCGGCACAAGTATGAGGCATCCAGTGAGGACCAAACTCACTACTCTGTAGAAAAGGTCACCAACCATTAGCCCAATAATGACGCCTCAGTAGTAATGGTCAACCAGTTTAGCTCGCTAAGCTTTACGCAGAAGCACTCAGGACAATGATAGAAAGAAAGGAAAAGAAAGAAATTAGAAGAGAAAGGTGGCGTGGGTGGAAAAGGATGGAAGAAGAAAGAGGAGAGGGAGAAGAAAAAGAAATGAGTGGAACGAAAAGAGAAATGAAAAAGAAAGAGTAGAGGAGATGGAAATTCAAAGGAAGAAAGGAAGGAAAGAAAGTATGTGTGTACGATTGAACGAATAACAAAAGGAAGGAAAGATAAAAGGAGCGAGTGAAGGGAGCTGTCACGATATTAAATAATTAAAGTAAATACTGGATCAGAGAGAAATTCTTGAGTTGTAACAGGTGCAAGGCGTAATTAGGTGTCAATACTTTGGTGGAAGGGAAATCGAAACGGGAAAGTTGGAGATGGAGAGGAACAAAGAGAAGTTATGGTAGCCAGGAAGGGTGCCCAGTGGCGATCATTGCAAGAATTGGAACATTGAGAACAGCTGCTGTTGATATTTATAATCATCAGGAATATTGTTTGAAATTCTGCGTTTAGTCACTAACATTATTGCACTATTGCTGTTCAGCAGTACAAAATGTATGGTTGTCAGCTAGAGGAACATTCCAAGGTACAAACTACAAATCGGCGGTATTTTAACTGAGGACAGAAAATATGGCATGGAAATCCAAAGGCGCATTTGAATAGAGAAAGATGCCTTCCAAAACCTAAGCAAAATATTAACAAACGGGAAAATGTCATTTGAACCAAATAAAATAGTGCTAAACTGTTATGTAATATCGATACTCCTCTGTAGTAATAAATGCTAGACAATTTCCTCACGGATGAAGAAGAGACGTAAGGCAGTAGAAATGTGGTTCTAGAGAAGGCTGCTGAGAATACAGCGGACTGAAAAAAAATGAGCAAGGAGTATATTTTAAGGAGAGTGGAAAAAAAGAACGTTTATACTTAGAATCAGAAACAGTTGAAATTTCTAGGACACATAATGAGGAAAGAGGGTTTAGAGAAACTGATACTCACAAGACATACTGAAGGCAAGTGTAGCAACCAGTAACCTACCTAACAAGCTGGAGTAAATGGAAGGCAAAATAGTGACAGGAAGTGATGGTGAAAGGATATGACTTACTTCATGCTACAAAGAATATTAAGTTGTGGAGAGCCTTGATCACCCACATCCTGAAGGAGGGCAGCAGAATAGCTTTTCTGATTAATATTCTCATTCTTGATGGTTCTGTTAATATATTTAGCTAATACATTCTCCATCCTTCCTTATTCAAGAGATAAGACGAAGCCTATGTTTTGATATGAAGCTTAAGAAATAAAAGCTATAGATGTGTTTTAAGTGGATACATTGTTATCGTGCGTTAATGAATGAATAAAGTAAGACACGTAACCTCGACTCAAGTACAAGATGGGATTAGAACTTTCCATAGTAGTAATAAAATGTACATCATTAATTCAGCAGATAAAATATTTTATATTTAAAGGGCTTTCGGAAAGTAATTACGCATTTCCATGCTATGCATTATGAGTCAATCAACCAAGGCAAAACCAAGATTAAATGATATTGTCTAAAATAAGTTTAATTTCTCTTCTATCCAACAGTGTGCCGTTTATTGTATAATACAGAGATTAAATAGGGAAACTTGCAAAGATAGAATTTGGCTTCCTCTGGAGCTTTTGCTTGGGAACCGAACATTCCATGATATATGCAACAGTCCCTTAACCAGGAATGCGAATCTTTCGTTTTTGTATCGCATTGTTACGAATAAAGAAAAAATAGATTTTCAGTGTCAAAAGAAGACGAAAAAGACGGTGGTTTTTCCCAAAATGAGAAGCCAGTGAAAACACCAAAACCAAGACAACATTTAAACACTGATTCATTCCTTTTTTTTTAAAGCGTATCAACCATTTGGGCTTATGTAAAGTCGAAACGTATTTGAGATATTAATTCTTTTTTTGCAAGTGAATATTGCATTAAATTTTTTTTTAGAATAACAATAATTTTTTACAGATACAAATACTAGTATTTAATCCATTGCCGGAGGGAAAAGATATATATATATATATATACATATATATATTATAAATTAATTAATTTAAAGGTGTTTTTTTCCACTACACAGTTCTAACCATGTTTCAAAAATTTTTGAAACATTTTTAAACATGGAAAAAATATTTTAAATCAATTAATGTATAAGCGGAATGCTCTGTAAATTTACATTGAGCACTGTTTTGTAAAAATAAAAAATATCTATAAGAACACCGGATTATATATCTTACTGTTCTTTTTTTATTTTTATTTAAATATATATATATATATATATATATATATATATATATATATATATATATATATATATATATACCTGTCCCAAGAGTATTTGAGCCTAAGTGAATGTAACGAACTCAAATGGAATTCGAACTCGGCTCTCCGATTTCCGATTCAGAGCCACTATCCATTACACAATATTACCCATCGTACATCACTCCATTTACAGAAGTCCTTGCCTTGTGTCTGGCGGAATAGGAAAGGTGTGGTCCATTACGGGCTACTGGTACCTGAAAGGGACAATAATGAGGATGTTTTTCACCTACATATCAAAAGCAGCGTGGAACTATGCAATTCCGTTTCAGTACTTTTCAGGGGTCGCAGCCATAAATCCAACCCTCATCGTTTATGATGATTCTAGGCATAAAAGTTTTGCACGAAGCTCAGAGAGCACGTCAAGATGGCGCCGCTTTCTGAACAAAAGCCGGAACACAAACTTCGCTGCAAAACGGTGCATGGTCAGGTTTTCCTGGCAGACTAAACAACTAATTCCAGCCCTGTGAGAGAACTGATGAATTATTCGACTGCGGTCATCATGGAAGACTTCACGAATTTATTTTACATTTTCTGGTGTTTCGCTGGAGTCTGGTTGCCTTGAGCGCTGATCAACTTGAAAACCCTGAAGAAGCATGACGTGAGTCTTTTTGGGCTTCACACACGATTTGATCGCAGAGCCGCTTCAAAAAGGAAAACGTTACAGGAACTGAAGGGATATCAGAAACACACATTATAAGTAAATCATTGTAGACAACACTGTCATTCTAAAAAAAAACATCTAATTGTAAAAGACGTTTAAAGGTTATACACGTTATACAAAACAGTTTAAGCTAACCCTCAATGTCACTCGCTTTGAAACTAGTTGATGATGCTGTTTAAAAGGTACCCCAACATGATATTACTACTACTCATATCCAGTACGGCTTAGAATTACCTCTACTTCTACACAACAGATAAGAACATAAAATGTACTAACAATGAATCCAATGAAAATGGTATATTGGACTGACTGAAAGCGCTTGGGACAGTTTCTACATTCTCTTAGTCCTCATAAAAAAAACTGTAAAACATTAAAGAACCTTTCTGCGTATGACGATAAACGACATCCAGTGGCAAGGCCTTTGATCTGGGGGTTTTGCGGAGCGTGAAACCATCTCTTAGTTTCTGTTGTTCCTAAGTCTACCGTGACCCAGGAAGGTAGCACCTGTTACTGGCCCAGCTATGGGCAAATAGTGAACCCCCAAAATGGGGTCAAAACATAAAAATATACAAATAGATTAGAACAAATTATCAGCAATACATTTTCATATTAAAAAAAAATATATAAAAACATACTATTAATAATTTTTTTTTTTTTTGGAAAGAGAATTAACAAAGCTCACAAGAAAATAAAATTTCGGTATTAAATGGCCCATAAGGAGATGATATGGAGAGAGAGAGAGAGAGAGAGAGAGAGAGAGAGAGAGAATGCACGGTAGAGTGATGGATAGCGGCTCGGAGTGAGGAATAGGAAAGCCGAGTACGAATTCCAGTCGAATCCATTACATGTAAGTGCTAATACCCTAAAGGCATTAATCCACTTCTTCTCCTTTCTAGCTATGGATTCTATAACCTTGGCTGGCAACTGGTCTAGGAGAAGGATAACTCTGAATTCAAAACCTGCGGAGGGTCGTTTGGGGACCTTGTGCACCAGGTCTCCGTATTCGGCCCTTCAAAAGTGTAGTTGGTTCTGCACAATGACTTCACCACTATAATCAAATCATATGTACTGGTGTCTGGGCTGTCGGTTCCTAGGAACTGAGCTGTTTGACCCTCATACGTCGAATACGACGGGAGAGTCCACCATATATATATATATATATATATATATATATATATATATATATATATATATATATATATATAAAGTATCTCACATTGAGTGCCAGTGTTAATAAAAAGTGCATATACATTTAATTACCCACTACTTTTCGAAACTATATATATTGAGCGCTCTTTTGTGAGTCACTTTTAATATATTTCAAATTCTATGTTGTGTTAATAGGACGCACCTGGATT